ATTCATCTACCATTTTTTAAAAATTTTTATGTTTATTTTTGAGAGAAAGGGAGAGACAGAGTGTGAGCAGGGGAGGGGAAGAGAGAGAGGGAGACACAGAATCCGAAGCAGGCTCCAGGCTCTGAGCTGTCAGCACAGAACTCGACGCAGGGCTCAAACTCACGAACCGTGAGATCATGACCTGAGCCAAAGTCGGACACTTTACCGACTGAGCCACCCAAGTGCCCCACTCATCTACCATTCTTATATAAAAAGACTGCTGGCTGTGGGCTGGTAATATGCTCTTAAAACACAGAGTTGAGTAAAGTACTTAAAAGCTGTATTAAATCAAATCTTCAAAAGCAAAATTCAGTTATACTTGAGAGTGAATGTATTGTAACCTTGCTTTCAGAAGAGTGAGCTTCTTGTCTTGCTCACTACTGTTAAAAGAAGAATTGATAGACAGGATAGGGCCATAGCTCAGAAGCCAAATCAGAATATTCTTTAGGCCAAGTTAGGTGGGATCAGTACATGAACTTTGTATAAAGGGAAAAATAGATACCTATACTAATTCAAATTCTTTATCCAGACATTGGAGAATATCCTCATTCTAAAACACGTACATTTTGGGTAAATGGCCAAATGCCATGTGAGACTTTTGGAAGAATTTTTCATCAGTAAGACTTTGGTTTTCATATCAAATGACAATATCCCTCTGGGGAAAAGCAAAGTCCACTCTGAAATGGGAAATCCCAGATATAGAGAAGGCTTTAATAATGATGTTAGAAGTTTATATTCTCATTTCACTCTGATTTATTGTCCAGAGAAAAAAAGAACCAATTTCAAGACTTAGAAAATTTGAAATGCTTTACTTTCTTATTAGACTATATAAGTTGAATCTGACCAAGTTCTATGAAAATATTCAATTCAGAGCTGTGGAAATGGGCAACAATGATATTAATACTTTGTAGTTACCGAACACTGTCCTCAAATTGCAGGCCTCAGTTAGTCTTTTATCTTTTTGCAAGTCCATGAGTTCTAAGCACTTTCTATGCCCACAGTCTAGTTAAAGCACCTTTTATGCCCATAGTCTAGTTAAAGCAAACATATAAAAACCATGTTTTAGGTAATTAACATTGCTACTGTGGCCATGTATGTTTGGAACAACATCAGTGCCTTGGCAAAATTCCACAGGTACAAGGAAGACCAACAGTTTATGCCATCATCAGAAACTCATTCTATTAGGAACAATATGTATTGGATAATGGGATAATATCTAATTGATCAAGTTAGGTTCTGTAGTAGATAGCATTCCTTTGGAAACAGACTCCAAGAAGCTGAGATTTTTATGTAGTAGATTTATTAGTGTGTATTCTTGGAGACAATATCTGGTAGAAGTTTAGGAGGCAAAATTAGAAATAAGTTCAACTGTAATGCCCTCAGAACAGAGGCTTCAGAATCATCTGAGGAGTTTTGAGACTGGGATGCTTCAGAGTTGTTCCAATTGAGACAAAAAGGATGGCTCATTAGATACCACAGTGACCAGTCATCATACATGAGCCTTCCTCAGGTAGAGAGCATAACTTTGAGCATGACCACTTCCTTCTTCCAGGGCAATGCCTGAAGAGGGACTCAGATGTAAAATATTAGCAGTCAATGCTCCAAGGATATGAAGGAATAAATGCTTTGTCTTAAAGGGCTGTGCATCAAGGCATCCTGTAGAGTCTTAGGGAATTTTAATGCAGGTGGCTTTAAGAAAGATGGTCAGAAGCAGTAGAAGCAGAGATGATAAAGAAAGAGACAAACTGAGTCATAAAAATGATAGGGTTATTATAGTATGGACAACAAGGTAATTAGTTTGCTACAACCGTTTTTTGATATCTTCAGAGGTTTTTGCATCTTTAACAATAACAAATGATATTTCAGTTCTTCATACATGCAAACTTTCCTGACGCAATTGTGTTTTCTTTGTTCCTTAACAATCTGCAAAACCAAACCTAAAAAATAAATCTTAGGTATTCAATTTTGAAGTGCTTCCTATTCAATATTAAAATATTGACTGGAAAATATTAAAGACCCTTGGAGAGATTAAGAATTTTGCTTAAAGTTCAAAATTTTATCTTCCACTGAACTAAATAATGTTTGTGAAGTGGCATGCTATGTCCCTAACATCTTTTTCTTAAGCTGTATTTTTGCTGACACAAATATAGCTTCAACAGCTTTCTTTTAGATAATATTCATCTGGTTTATATTTCCCCACCTTTTTGGTTTTAACTTTTCTGTTTTTAGGGTTTTGATAAATAGCATATAGTTGGTTATTTTAAAATCCAGTCTGACAGTTCCTATAAGAGAAGGGCTAAATTTATTTAAATGTATCAGTATTTTGGACTTTTTCTATCATTTTTCTTTGTACATTTTAATTTTTCCTATTTTTCTTATGCTTCTGTTTACTTTCTTGACTTTTTTAAGAGATTGAGGCTTCTGCTTTTCTCTACTTATTTCATTTTTTCCTTCCATTTTTTGAATTTAAATTCTCTATTTCTAATTTTTTAATGGTTACATTTGAAAATTTACCATGCCCATATGACCAAGTTCAATATCTTAAACTCCATTTAGAAGAATATAAGGGCACCTGGGTGGCTCAGTTGGTTAAGTTTCCTTGGCTCAGGTCATGATCTCTTGGTTCATGAGTTTGAGCCGCACATCGGAGTCTCTGCTCTCAGCACGGAGCTTGCTTCAGATCCTCTGTCCCCTTTCTCTCTGCCCCTCCCTTGCTCTCTCTCTCTCTCTCTCTCTCAAAAATAAGTAAACATTAAAAAAAGAAAAATATAAGAATTTCAGAATACTTCAACCTATCATTACACTTCCTACTTACACATGGTTGTTTACAGTATTTTAGGGCTATGAATTTATACATTCACAAATTAGAATATTATATATTATTATTATTTTACACAGACAATATTTATTGAGATTTGCTTAAATACATTACTATGCTCACTTGCTGTTTGGCTATCTTTCCTTCTTGCATCTCAGGTATTCTATTAAGGTTGTTTTTCTTTCTCCTAAGTTATATCCTTTGGAACAGTGGTTCTCAATCTGTGGTTCAAATCATCCCTGTTTCCCAAGAAGGCATTTTATAAATATGTGGGGACATTTTGTTATCACATGATTAGATGGTACTTACTGGCATTTGTAGTGTGAGCCATGGATGTTGAACATCTGGAATTACACACAGGACAATCTCCCACACAAAAGAATTGTTCTGGTTCCTTATGACTTTCAATGATCCTGATGGACATGCAAAGTAGATGAAAAAAACTCTTGATATGTATTTGAGTGTAGGAACTAATTCCATTTATATAAAAATATTTGGCACAGTTTTAACACACTGAATTTCCTAGGAATGCAACAACTAAATAAAATAAAGCTAGTATTTTTTTGCTCTGAATTTTAACAGTAATAGCTTACATTTCAGAAAAATCCCACCACTAATAGCTATGTTAATCTTGATGTTTGAGGTGCCGGTACAACTCATCTGTGTTAATCTGAACATGGAGCTGGTTGCATTATTGGTGATTCTACGAATGTGCACACACATACACATGCACATATAATACTAGATAGCTTCACTGACAAATACAGTTTGTTTACTCTGCTAGTATGTTTCTTTCCTAATGTAGTAGTGAGACAATCAAGATTAAGCATTCATTTTACTAAGAAACATGCTGTCAGAGTTGGCAAGGATATATCATACTTCTACTCTTGTAAGTAACAGCATAGACATCAAAGGAATCACTGATCCTGGCTAACATGTGAAGAATATTGGATGTTACCAGGAGAGTAAAATTTAAGCCAGATAAGGTAGAATTTATCTACATTAAACCACCCATCAATGGCTTGGGACTGACTATTCCATAGACACCAGGATCTGATTCTAAACTTTGTTGGGTTGGCTCCTTAGCTTGGACATGACCATGGTCTGAGGATTTATCTGGATTGGAAACTGGATGAAGGTCTATTATTATACACTGCATCTTCCTGCACAGTGATCCTCATATACATATCTCATGGTGTCACTATGGAATCCAACTGTGTCCTACTACTTCCAAGATTAATCTCTCTCCTGTAAACGTGCCAAATATGACCCTTTCAATAGTGGCCGATTTGCTTCTGTAGCCTCTTCACCTCCTCTTTCCAGCCTACCAACTCGAGCACCTGAATGTTAATGCCTCTTTCTTCGCTTCTTTCCTTGCCTCTTCTATTGGGTTAAAAGGGGATTGGTTTCCACAACACCTACCTGGAGCATTTCTCTAACGTAACACTTAATCACACTTAACGGTGTAAACGTTGATTTTTGGGGGTGTGTCTGTCTGATTATGAGGGCATCTTCTCATAGTTCCTAGCAAGGTGCTTGGTTAAGGAGTAGGAGTCAACAGATGTTGACTGTTAGAGAAAAACAACAGTGTAACATTTCAATACCATTCACGTAGTTAAAAACTTTTCAAGCTACTTTCAGTTTCACTTTTACTGAATTCGGACTCTTCGTTCTCCATTCCCTCCCTTCTACAAACACATGGCGAGGGACAGCGAGCACACCTGAAACTTCCCATAGGTGCCGGGCAGGTCTCTAAGGGGCACTCCCTCCCACTCAGGAAGTCACGTCAACGTGATGACGTCACACGTCCCGCAGACGTCCCGCCGTCAGGCCCACCCATCAAAACCTTCCGGGCTGTCTTTTTTGCGGTTAGTGGTGACAACTTGAACTCTGTTCGTACGGAAGGCCGGCAACGACAAGTACATAAGGCGGGTCCTTGAGGACCCGTGCTTCCCCAAAGAAAGGTGACTTGTTTCCCGGAAAGACGCGCAGGCAGCCGAGGAACCACCCCCAAGCGCTTGCCGCGGTCTCCCGGGGAACGGCGTAGCGCACTGGCCTGGGTGGGGTGGGAGCGCGCGTGCGCAGTGCGCGGCATTGGCGCCGACCTGGAGTAATGGGCGTGGGTGTTTGATTCTTGCAGAGGATGGCCCATTTCTCTGGCGAGGACGAGGTGGTGATGCAGACGATGCTGAGGCAGTTGTTCCAGAGCGTAAAAGAGAAGATCACGGGTGCCCCCTCTCTGGAGTGCGCCGAGGAAATCCTCTTACATCTGGAGGAAACTGATGAAAATTTTCACAAGTAAAATAGCTTTTGATGTCTTAAGCAAACAAACCAGCTGATCCAGAAAGGGTCAAAGTGTAGTTAAAGAATGTTTATTTGATTATTGTTGTTAACATAGCGCCCAAGTTTGAGGTTCATTTTTTTTCGTTTATTTACACATATCGAATTTATGTATTATTTATTCTTTACTTACTTTCCAAAGCTTCTGTCTCCTTTGTGTTTCTGCTGCCACAACCAACATATCCTAATTCTTCGTTTTTCCTCATGGGCAACACAGTAACAATAATTGAAAATTGTTCATGTTTTTCTAAGAGGAATTCTGTTATTTCAAAGGATTCTTGTCACTGTGCCTGTCACATTGGCCTAAAGCAATGAGTTCCCAAGATCTCTGTTCCTTGGCTGATCTGGTATTTCAGTGGCTGCCCCAATTCCCCATTCTGAGCACTGTAGGAATACTGACGTTAGATTGTTAACTTCCTATCGAATAGTTTAAGTTCCTGTGAAGGGATAAGGCACATACTCAAATGTCTGTGATACATGTCAAAAATATAAGTGCTGTAGAAGAGCTACAGAGTACTCTGGGTTTGCGAGCAGTAGAAATAGTTTAATGAGAGAGGTACCACTTGAGATATATCTTGAAGGTTACGTTTCTTTAGAGACCTTTTTTTTGTTTTGTTTTGGTTCATTTAATTTAAATTAATCCTCTCCATTGAAACGTTTTCTTGCAGGAACCCAATTAATTATTATTGGTAGCAGTATTTTAAATTCAGTGGTTGTATTTCATTTTGATCTCACAGAGATGTTTTAAAAAAATTTTTTTTATGTTACCTTTACTGACTCTGAAATTCTATTTATCTGGAACTCGTACTCATTTCCTTTATGCGCATAGTTGGTTTTTTGAGCCCTTTAATGTAAAAGTTTGTTTTTACTTGCAGTTTTATAGGGGGAGTATTTATAGTTTTCACCAGATTCTCAAGGGAGTTTTCAAAAGTAAGGAATTCTTGTTAATATAGTTACTGATTTCATTGGTATTTATGGTTATACATAAAGTTTCTTCGTATTTCCATGATTTTCCTGTTTATTTCTTAATTGAATCCACTACAAATAGCTGTTATTTGTGATCATATTTATTTTGGGAGACTTTACAGAACAGCTTTTATTGGTTAACTATTGATTTATTACTTAAACAACAGACTATGGAATAATTGCAATTTTCTCAAATTAAGGTTTAATTAATAATGTTTTATAAACTCATGGAATACAAGTTCACCTCACACAAATCCACATGAGGCATGAAGTTTGGGGTTTCATTTCTGGTTTTTATTTCACATACAAGCAGTTGTTTAAATACTTTGTAAATTATTATGTCAGTTTTTGCTAGGATCATATTCTTGGCATTTGTGCATTTTGTCTAGATTTTCAAATGTATTGGTAAAAAGTTTTTCATTAAAATCCTGTAGTTTTTAAATATTTTTAATATCTATAGCTATATATCCCCCTTTTTATTCTTCTCTTTGATTTGTGCCTTCCCTCTTCTGTTCTTCTAGGGGTTTCTTTTAGTCTTTTAAAAAAACCAGCTATTGGCTTTGTTTCTCCTTTGTATTATGTATATGTTTTATGGTTTTAAAGTTTCTGCTGTTTATTTCTTTTCTTGGAAAAATTTTTAAAACTTTTGTGATGAATGGTTACCTCATTAATATGCAGCTTTTTTTCTTTTTTTCTTCAATGTAAATGTTTACCTGTATTGCTTTAGCTGCTTCAATTTTAGAATGCTTTTCAAGTTTAAGTTAGGTCATTGTTGTTCCTCTTAGTAGTTTAATGACTGTTGTAATAAAGTAATTTGCTTTTCTGCAGTGCATTAGATTAAATGCCTGCTGATTACCATTCATACTTAATGTTCACTGTTTACTAAAGAGATTTACTTTTGGCCTACCTAAAAAAATCCAGACACTCTCAAATTATAACTAGTTTGTAGTTTTAAAAGTAAGATTTATAATCCTCAAAGTATTTTTTTTTTTTGCATCTATCTATCTATCTATCTATCTATCTATCTATTTATTTGAATTTACATCTAAGTTAGCGTATAGTGCAACAATGATTTCAGGAGTAGATTCCTTAATGCCCCTTACCCATTTAGCCCATCCCCCCTCTCACAAACCCTCCAGTAACCCTCTGTTTGTTCTCCATATAATCCTAAAAGTATTTTAAGTAGCTTGTAGTCTTAAAAGCATAGATGCTAAAAGTCATGTGTTAGCTGCATTAACCCGAGATCTGTGCCTTAGGAGGAAGGAACTCTTTATGTAGGAGAGAAAAAGAGGAGGACTTGCTTGTCTTTGGTATTTTCATAGACTCTTACAATTCAGTCGGATATTAAAGGTCAGTTAGTACAGTTATACTTGGTCTTTGTTTTCACTGACCTAACTCTCCTTGACATTGTACGTTAAGTCACTTAGGTATGTATTGCTTCCAAAAGTGTTTCCTACTTCAGAATTATCTACCTTCCCTTCTCCACTATCAGAACATTGGTTTCTTAAATCCACCCAATGTTGTCCTGGTATTGACAAGGACAATTTTATTAAAGAGACTTATGGGGGAACTGGTGTCTTTAGGCTATTGTATTTTTGTATGAAGATATTTAAGACAGTTGAGTCCATACATGATGGAATTTTAGGTACTATAAAAAATTAAAGTGGGAGAAATTGCAGTCACTTGGGGAAAACCATCATGTAGACAGTATAGCCCTATCTGGGGGTTTGCCCCAATGGGCAGCTTCCCTAAACTACTATCTCTGCTTTGTATAGCATCTTCTATTTTTCTGCCTTAAACTGTACAAATTCTTTAAAATATCCAAACTTTCCCTCTCTGTCTTTGAAAGTGGCAGCAAGGATTTGAGGGCTGTGGGAGGGGAGGAGAGGTAGGGATGAGGATATTGCTTTCATTATGTGTGCATGTGTTGTGTAGATTCCCAGAAACCAAACTGGCCCTGGTTTTCACTCTTGGCTACGCTAGAATCAGGTGGGCCCCATGTAAAAAAATACTGATGCTTGGGCCTCATCATGAATGAATCAAAATTTCCTGAGCAGCTTGGCAGAGGGGGAGTGGTAGAGTCTGGGCCGTAGTGATTTTCAAAAAGCTCTCTAGGGTTGAGAACGTGGAGAATTGTAACGTGCAGCCAGGGTTGAGAACCACAGAGTTAGAGCATATTTACTTGCATTGACACAAGAATTGTGGTGTGTGTGTGTGTGTGTGTGTGTGTGTATTTATTTTAGTAATTATCAACTGTGATGATTATAAGAGTCTCTAATGCAAATGCTCAGTTTTGTAACCCTCACATCCAGTATATTTTTGGTTTGATACAGAGGGAACACAGTAATAATTTGTTGATTTAGGTTTATTTTTTGTTTTATAGAAGAATGTACCACTGATTTTTTAAATCTGTGAAATCCATTTAAATGGTACCTTCAAGAAAACCTCCATTGTGTAAAGTGATATCCATGTATAGAGAAATGACTAAGAATTACATGCGTGCTTCCATAATTAATGAATGCATTTCTAGTAATTGTTTATCATGACTCAGAAGCCTATTCTTTGACCTAAAAGTTTGTACGTGATGTAAAGCTTGTTCGTTCTATTGCATAACCTTTAAAAAAAATTTTTTTTAACATTTATTTATGTTTGAGAGACAGAGCACAAGCAGGGGAGGGGGCAGAGAGAGAGGGAGACACAGAATCCGAAGCAGGCTCCAGGCTCCGAGCTGTCAGCACAGAGCCCGACGTGGGGCTCGAACTCACAAACTGTGAGATCATGACCTGAGCCGAAGTCAGACACTTAACCGACTGAGCCACCCAGGCGCCCCTCTATTACATAATCTTTTATATACTAATATGATATATAAAGTTAGGTTGGTTATATAATAAATCTTTTGATTCTGAAATAAGAATTCCAAATATCAGCGTTATAATTCATAACTTACTCTAATAAAGTCTCTTTTTAAAACATACCAATACTGATAATTTTTTCTATATATGGTTGAAAAATTTCTTGCTTATCTAAATAACTAAGAGAATGATGTCTTGAAACAAACTTGTACTAGTTTTTTTATGTTCTTATGTTGTAATAGTAATCTGTGTATCAGTGCATATTTTGGTATAGACATTTTGAACATGTCAGAAATTCATCATGAAAGAAATAATTAAGTTTTCTTGGAAAAATCTAGGTAATAAAGCTGGAGAACAAAATGGAAAAAAGTGAATGTTCTTTTACTCAACTTTGTAAATTTTCTGACATAAATGTAAAAAATATCATATTTGCCAGTAGTAAAGCAAAGTGATGAGGTTCATTGCTATTTTAATTGAGCTGCTTCTGAAATGTAGTGAGGTGAACATATTTTTCCTTAGTAGCAAATGCCTGACTCAGGTTTTTAATGTCCTTCTTTGAGGAATATTTGGAAAAAGATACTTTGCATTCACTTGGTGATAGCGTCTTTGAAACCAAATGTTTATTTTTTCTCATTAAATTACTTTTATGGTAACAAATAAGGTTAGTCAAACATGTATAGTACATTTGGTTTGAAAAGTGTCAAAGTATAGCTATGTGTAATAGACAACAGTTTTTGCATTGGGATTATCATTATTGTTATGTAGTGGGAACTGACATTTAGCAAGGTCATGTGTTTTGTCTAAGGTTACAAGATTGACCAGTGTAAGATTTAGAACTTAAGCCTGAAACAAAGGGATTTGTAGAGTTCTAAAGATAAAATTATTTACTAATTGTATAGATCATGTCCTTTAAAAAAGAAGAAACTTTGTTATTAGAAAATTTAAATTATTTCTTTAATGTTTATTTATTTTTGAGAGAGAGCATACACAGGCTGGAGAGGGGGAGATAAAGGGGGACAGGGGACTTGAAGCAGGCTCTGTGCTGACAGCAGAGAGCCTGATGTGGGACTTGAACTCCTGAACTGAGATCATTACCTGAGCTAAAGTTGGACGCTTAATTGAGCCATCCAGGCACTCCCTAGAATATTTTAAAATGACCAAGAAAGAAATATTAATAGACTTCAGTTAAAATACAAATGAATGGAAGTTGTATTTATTGTAGTCCATGGCAAAGAGGTATTATTCCCATAATATTGTAGTCTTGGTCTTTCCTGTGCAATTAGAGTATATTAATCTGAAAATGTTAAAGGAGTTTGCTAAAACTAATTCTGAGAGGAAAGGACTTAAATTGTAGCAGAATTGCTTTAATTAAGCCTAGTAAGGATCTTCTAACATAAGTTATTAAGTATGTACATTTTTTTTTTTTTGAGGGAAGTTTTACATTTCTTAAATAGAAATTTTAAACATAGAGATGATTCACCAGTATCTTTAGTGGTAAGGATTTTATGTTGTTTATAATACTTGTATGAATGGATGGTGAAAGGTCAAACTGGCATTCTGCAGGCCATATTGGGTCTATGGATGTGTTTCTTTGGCTTGGTTTTAAAAAATAGTAACATTTAAAAATTGGGAGATAGCACATAAGGTAGTTTTCTGGCTTCTATTAAAACATTGAAAAATCCACATCAGGCTGTAATAGTCCTAAGTGGCAGTAAGTGGCTAAAGCCATGTGGAAGCTCTTCCTTTTAGCTGAGACACATCCTTTTATTTCACCACCACCTCTTCCTTTTCTCTCTTACACGTGGCTGGCTTTAGTTTACCTGTCTACCCCCAGTGACACTGAGTTTGTAATCCCTGTTATAAGTATGGGACCTTTCGAAAGTCTCTTGTGCATCCAGGGCTTTTGCTTTTATACAAAATATGAATATAGCTACACCAGAATAATTTCTAAAAATGATGCAATGGGTTGATTTAAAAAGCTGTGGTTATCATCAATCTTTTAGATTAGATGAAGACTTCATAAGAGCAACTGGATGGCACCAATACTATGAGGATTATAGTGAAAGCAACATAGTACTTAATTTTATGATTAAGTACATAATAATTAAATGTATTAAGTATTATGGTATCTCCCAGCCCATAGCAATAATAATTCTCTATCCTGGGCACTACTGTAGAAGAATAGTATTCCTTGTAGGATTTTATGGGGTATTGCCATGAATTCAGATAGTAAAAGAACCAACACAAAATGAATTGTCATGTGAGAATTTGAAGACTTGGATTTTTCTTACCCAGAGTAGAAAGGTCTACTTGCAGAAATGACTCTATTTACTAATTTAAGATTGGAAGCTTGAGAGTTTTCCAATAATCTTTGAGTTAGTAGAGCATCCAAAGGGCTTTAGGCAGCCTGGTAGTGCTCCCATGATAGAAGGCCTTATCTTCCCTGGAGATTTTTTTTTTTTTTCTTAAAAGAGCAATAACCCATTAGGGAATATTTAATTTGGGGGTTCTTGGGTTCGTTTAATTTGGAAGATGAACCAAAACCTTGAAATATTTTGAATGGAGTCTTCTGGGAGATACTACTGTGGCCACAGATAAAAGTGATGTCATTTAAAAAAAGTATGTGGTTATTCAAGTTCCCAAAGAGGAGGTTTAAACTTTTTCTCAGCATGTTTGCTATATTATATAGATGGTGATAAATAGTGGGGAGGTTTTGTTTTGTTTTTGTTTTTGTTTTTGTTTTTGATGTGTCTTTTATTTTAGAGTGGTATTCTGTTAACTTTCTTGAATACATTGTATTAATGGGCTTTCCTTGTATTTCCTCACTGCCTTAGTTATAAAAATATCATAACCTACTTGCTTACAGTTTGGGCTTTAAACAAAGCAAGCACAAAATTTATATTAGTTAAGTATTCATTTCTCCTAATTGCTTGATTTGTGGCAGAGAAACGGGACTGATAAAACTAAGGAATAATTCACTTTTCTGTAGTAAATGTTGATGGTGAGTTGTAGAATTCATCTTCAGAGAGGCCCTTCCTTTAGTTTCAGAGAATTAACTCCAGCTTGCCCCATGTTTTGTTTCCCACTGAGTGTCTTAGAGATGTGAAGGAAAACTGGTGTGTCTGATTAGCCTAGGGCAGGATTATGAGGAGGATCAAGATTGTTTTTAGGGACTGTTTATCTTTTTGCACTTTGTTCCACATTCAATTTTCTCTGGCTGGCTGTGAGCTCAGACTGATTGGGCTCAAGAGATTATTTATTCCTGGATCCTTTTTCATTTACAAGGACATTTTATTTTTTTATTTTATTTTATTTTTTTAAGATTTGATTTTTAAGTAATCTCTATACTCAATGTGGGGCTCAAACTAAAAATCAAGAGATCAAGAGATCAGGAGTTGCATGGTCCACTGACTGAGACAGCCAGGCACCCCTACAAGGACATTTTCAATACAGCAATGATACATTTATGGTATTGGAATTTCAGATATTCTGATTCTTTAGAGGGTTTGTGGTGGTGGAATGGTTGTGGTGGAGAATACACGTATTTTTTGCTCTTCAGATCACATCATGCACATCTGTCAACTTTAGTCTCAGAGCTAGTTGTGGAGGCAGTTTAGGGACTGTCAAATGTTAAAAAATTAAGAATATCTTTAAAAGATTCTCTTGAAACCTTAATCTTTGAATTCTTGCTTATATAAGTCTTTACCATTTTGTGTAGAATATGCAAATATTTGGCTTATAATTACAAATATACAAGCCAAAAAATAAGTTAGCATTTAAAATGGATGGGAAGTTATGCTTGTATAAGGGAAGGTCTTCAAGTGATGTAAGGCAATGATGACTCCCCAGAAGAGGCAAAAACTTCAAAATTGCATGAATAATTATTAGAGGCTATTTTCTAGGACACGTGATTCAGTAAGTTTTGGGTTTTGTTTTTCTTGGAATATTTCTGAAACTTTGTGTTTGTCATTTTGGTCTAACACTGCAGGTCATTATGTTTACAAAATCACTTTGTTTATCTCTTCTGTTCTTAATAGCTATTTTCCTAAAGCTTAGAAGTTACTAGCTAAGGGCACTTGGGTGGCTCACTCGGTTAAACATCTGATCTTGATTTTGGCTCAGGTCGAGATTTCACTGTTTGTGAGTTCAAGCCCCACATCTGGCTCTGCACTGGCAGTGCAGAGCCTGCGTGGGATTCTCTCTCTCTCTCTCTCTGCCCCTCCCACACTCTGCACTCTCTCTCTCTCTCTCTCTCTCTCTCTCCCTCCTCTCTCAAAATAAGTAAATAAACTTAAGAAAAAGAAAAGTTACTAGCTAAACGTTGAATATAAATATTAAACGTTTAAAAGTAATTTCAATGAATAACTTAAACTTTTAAGTAAATTTTATTTTTAAGTTTAATATGCCAATTATTATTTTGAGAAAATAAAATGTAATAGATTTACCTCTCTAAAGGGAAGAAATGTAAATAATACAAAAATTAGTAAAAATATGAGTATTACATTTATTAATTTTCCTTTCCAGTTTCAGTTGAACACTATAGAACCTCTTATTTTATTTCTTAAATAGTTTTGGAATTTTTGCATCTTTGGGAGAGTGTGGGGTTGTGGGAATGATACTGGTTTTGGAGTAAGGTTGACCTGAATTACTAGTTGGTGAATTTGATAAGGCTTTTTAACTTTTCAGTCTGTGTCCTCATCTATTTACCTATCTCATGTGGTAAATAAAGCAATATTAATAAAGTGCTTAGCGCAGTGTCTAACACATGGTAGTCACTTAAAAGTCCCTCCTTGCTTATATGCAAATCAACATGTTTGACGGTTTGTGGAGAAAACTGAGTGTGGCCTCATGTAAGTGGAGATGCAGTAATTAAGGGGCTTGATTAATTAGGTATTTAAATGCCAAGCCAAGGAAGTTGTATTTGGAAAATAGCCAATAATTAGTTTTAAATACAAGAAATATTTATTGGGTATGAGTGAAATGCTCTAACTCAGAAATAATGAAATCCATGACTTTTGAGGACCAAGATGACTACAGTGTTCAGGATAAATATGAGAGGGAAGAGGATGAAAGAAGACAAGCAAGAAGACTGCTGTAGTAATGTCTGCGTGAGGTGATGTGCTTTTGCACTGATCAATGGAAATGGAAAGAAAAAAAAAAGAGGAAGTGATGAAGCCAAGGGATGTGTAGGAAATGTTAACAAGTGTCTATGAGTAGGTGGATTGATAGAGTGAGTGGGCATGGGGTGTGGAAAATGCCAATGTCCCAGAAAAAAACAACATAATTCTAGATTGGCTTGATGATTTGGGATGAAAAATTTAATCCTGGTTCAAGGTAAGAAATCTGAGTATTTCATAAATCTTTCTGTGCTAACATTTTCTTCTGGATATGGTTAATAAGTGAGTTCATGATATTGAGTGCATTTGTTTTTTAATTTTTTTTTTTAGCTATGAATTTGTGAAATATCTTAGACAGCATATATATAACACTTTGGGGTCCATGATTGAGGAAGAAATGGAAAAATGGATGTCTAATCAGAATCAGGATGAAGAATCTGGCTATGAGACAGTTGTACAGCATGTTACTAAAAGAACCCAGGAATCTAAAGAGTGAGTATGTTCACAATAATACTTGAAAGCAATTTTCTCTCAGCAGGGCATTTTGAAAGCACCCCTAACCCATGTCCTTCATAGCAGCTAGGATGATGCTTTAAAACAATCAGTCAGATCCTGCCACTTGAGTCCACTCAGCATTCTGTGAAGGCTTCTCATCTCATTCAAAGTAAAATTCAGAGTGTAGCCCAGAAGCCCCAAACATGAGCCTTCTGTTCCCTCTCCTTCCTCATTTCTTACCATATTCCCTCTCACACTGCTCCAGCCACCCTGGTCTTGTTCTTTCTCAAAAAGCTAAGCAAAGCCCTCCCTTAGGGGGATGGTTTACATTAGGGCTTAGTCTTAGTGTTGTACATTCTGTGGAATTGTACAAATTTATAACGGCATGTATCCACAATTATAGGATTATGCACAGTAATTTCACCGCCCTAAAATCCTCTATGCTCTGCCTATTCATTCTTCCCCCTCCAAATCCCTGGCAACCACTGATCCTTTTATTGTCTGCACAGTTTTGCCTTTTCCAGAATATAATATAGTTGGAAACACATATTATTTAGCCTTTCAGATTGGCTTCTTTTGCTTAATAATATGCATTTAAGTTTCCTCCATGTCTTTTCATGGCTTGATAGCTTATTCATATCTAGCACTAAGTAATACTCCCATTGTCTGGATGTATCAGACACCTTGGTTGCTTCCAGATTTTGGCAATTATGAATACAGCTACAATAAACATTGTGTGCAGGTTTTTGTGTGGGCATGTTTTCAACTTCTTTGGTAAATACCAAGGAACATGATTGCTGGTCATGTGGTAAGTATGTATAGTTTTGTAAGAAACTATAAAATTGTCTTCCAAAGTGGTTGTACCCTTTTGTATTCCCCCAACGTTGTATGAGGTTTCTTGTTGCTTTACTTACTCACCAGCATTTGATATCCATGTTCCAGATTTTGGGTGTTATAATAGTAGTTATCTAATAGTAGTGTAGTAATATCTCGTTGTTTTAGTTTGTGTTTCCCTGATGACATAAGATGTGGAGTATCTTTTCATATACTTATTTTGTCATCTATATATCTTCTTTGGTGAAATGTCTGTTAAGATCTTTGGCCCATTTTTTAATCAGATTGTTATCTTATTGTTGAGTTTTAAGAGAGGGGTGTGTGTGTGTGTGTGTGTGTGTGTGTGTGTGTGTGTACTTTAGATAATAGTCCTTTATCAGTAAGTTGTTTGCAAGTATTTCCTCCAAGTCTGTAGCTTGTCTTTGCATTATCTTGACAGTGTCTTTTGCAGAGCAGATATTAATTTTCATTTTAATTAAGTATAGCTTATCAGTTACCTATTTCATGGATCATGCCTTTGGTGTCATGTCTAAAATGCCATCACCAAACCTAGGGTCATTAAGACTTCCTTCTATGTTATCTTCTAAGAACTTCATAGTTTTGTGTTTTACATTTAAGTCTGTGATCCATTATGAGTTAGTTTTTATGAAGGGTGTAAGGCAGATGTCTAGATTGATTTTTTGGTGTGTGGGTGTCCAGTTGTTCCAGCACCATTTGTTAAAAGACTATTTTTGTTTTATTTTATTGCTTTTGCTCCTTTGTCAAAGATCAGTTGATTATATTTAAGGGTACTTCTGGGCTCTTACTCTGTTCCACAGATTTACTTATCTTTTCTTTTGTGAATACTGCACTGTATGATTACTTAGGTTTATAGTTTCAAAGTCAAGTCTTGAAGTTGAGTAGTGTTAGTTCTCCATCTTCATTCTTCTCCTTCACTATCGTGCTAGCTATTCTGTTTTTTCTTTTTTTGCCTCTTTGTATAAGCTTTAGAATCAGTTTGTGTATATTCACTAAATAACTTCCTGGGATTTTGATTGGGATTGCATTGGATTTATAGATGAAGTTGAGAAGAATTTACATCCTGACATAGAATTGTCCTAATCTATGAACATGGACTATTTCTCCGTTTATTTAGTTCTTCTTTGATTTCTTTCAATTGAAACTTATAGTTTTATTTATACTGATCTTATATATATTTTGTTGGGTTTATACCGAAGTGTTTCATTTTTGGGGTACTAATGTAAATAGTATGTTTTAAATTCCCAATTCTACTTGTTCATTGATGGTATACAGAGAAGTGATTGATTTTTGCATATTAAATTTGTATCCTGCAACTTTGCTATAATTGTTTATTGATTCTAGGAATTTTATTGTCAGTTTTTTCAGGTTTTCTGCATAGGTGATCATGGCATCTACAAACGTTTTATTTCTTCCTTTCCAATCTTGCTTCCTTTTTACTTTTCTTGTCTTATTTCATTAGCTAGGACTTCCCATAGGATGTTGAAGAGCAGTGGTGGGATGGAATATCCTTGGCTTGTTTCTAATTCTCTTTTACTTTTTTAAGGTCTCAGTTCCATGTCTCCTTACCAGAGAGGCCTTCCCTGATCTCTCTATATAAAACAATGGCCTTTCCCTTTTACTTTTTCTCTTTCTTACCTTGCTTTTTTTTTCTTCTTAACTTTCGTCACTGATTAATATGGGATAATATATGTATTTGCGTATTTTATGCTCATTTTCATTGTCTCCCCACTGGAATGTAAACTCTCAAAAAGTAGATAATTTTATTTTTTCTATTTCTGTGTCCATAATGCCTTGAAAATGCCCAGCAAATGTTAGGTATATAATAGGTATTTGTTGGATGAATTAATGATATCGTTTCTTGCCGTTATAATCAATTTTATGTTATTGATGTTTGACATAATTCTGACTTGAGCAGTAAATTATTTTTTCTTTTCCCTTATTATATATCACATGCATTTAATAAGTAACTACTGTATGTTAGGTTTTAAATCTTGGGGCTATACTGTTAAATAAGATGCCTCCTACCCCCAAATAATCCATAGTGTTTTTAGGAGTCTAACATTAGACTGAAAAATAAATTTGAAATAGGTAATTTCAATACAGGATGGTAAGTGCCATGATATATGCAAAAGATCACATGGAAATATGGAGGAAGAGGATGTTAGTTAGAATATACTAAACAGTTATCACAAATAGACACCAAAATGCAGTGGCTCAAAGAAAGCAATTTTTTTTCCCTCTTATATAACAGTTCAGAAGTACATGAATGCAGCAAAGGTAGGTGAATTTTCTGAATGACTTTATCTAGGGACCCCAGGTTCTTTCTATTCTATTGTTCCATCATATCTGGGATAGGAGCTAGTCAACTTTTTCTGTAAAAGGCTGTATAATAAATATTTTAGGCTTTGCAAGCTGTTGTAGTAATAATACAACCGTAGACACTATGTAAATAAGAGTGTGTGTATGTTCTAATAAAACTTTACAAAAACAAGTGGTAGGTTAGTTTAGGTCCAGAATATGTATTTTACCAATCTCTGTTCTTGAATATTGCCTTCATCTGCATAGTTGGAGCAGCCACACTAACTCCGCAACAGGATTTCAGCCTGGACAAGAGAAGGGAGGGTAGAAAACAAGATTCTTTATTTACTCACTTTCTACTGGCTAAAACATGGTCATGTGCCCAACTTACCTATAACAGAGACTGGGAAATTTAATACCTAACTGATGACCATGTGCCCACAGTGAAAACTTGAGGGACGAGTTTTAAACTAATACTACGTAGAAGAGGGGGAGGATGGATACTAGAGACAAACCCTTGAATAAGGGGTCATGCAACATGGCTGGACAGTAGTCATGGAAAAACTAAAAAAAGTACGTTAGTCACTTACGAGCTCAGTTTTTGTTAAATCAGTTTTAACTCCATAAAACTTTAAGATATCAGTGCTAGAAAATACCTTGGAAATTATTTGTTCTAAGGTCCTTAATTTACAGGCCCAGAGAGGCAAATTCAGTGATTTGCTTAGAGAGGTACAGTTGTTTGATATTGGAGGCCAGTGTAGAGCCTGTCTTTCTCTCACTTCCCTTTTAGGACCACTTTTTGGTATATGTTGCCCTGTAAGAATTCATATATATTTTTTTCTAGGTTTTTTTTTTTTTTTTCTAGTTACTTGTGTTATTGACTCCCTGCTAATCTATTATAGATTCCTTAGGGTAGGATTTGTGTGGTATATACATGTCTGACCTTCAGCCCTAATGCTCTCCATGTGTATTGTTCCTTGCTTGCCTGCCTTTCTGGTCTGACAGAGAATGAGAACCATATAGTTTCTGTTCGATTTGGTGTTTTAAAAACCATGCCTTTTCGGGTGCCTGGGTGGCTCACTTGATTAAGAGCCCAACTCTTGATTTCAGCTCAGGTCATGATCTTGTGGTTTGTGAGTTCGAGTCCTGATTCAGCCACTGAGCTGACAGTAAAGAGCCTGCTTGGGATTCTGTCTCTCTCTCACTCGGCTCCACTCCCATTCCTGAACATGCTCTCTCTCTCTCTCTCTCTCTCTTTCTCTTTCTCTGTCTCAAAATAAATAAACTTTAAAAAACAAAACCAAAAACAACCCCTCCTCCTCCCCCCCCAAAGAAATGGCTTTTTGACTAAAAAGGTCGTGAGGCTCAAAGTTGGCCAGGTGAATGGAAACCTTAAATGGAAGCCAAATGGATACCAAAGATATTAAGGAGGCACTCTGGGTTCTTGAGAAGGGGGCAGCATGACAAAATGTCTAACTCTCAAAGTACAATTTAATATAGAGTAGTAACTGGGATGATATAAAGGCATTAGGGAGGCACTCTGGGTTCTTGAGTAGTGGGTAGCATGACAAAATACCTAACTCTTACTCAAAGTGCAATTTAATACAGAGCAGTCACTGAGATGAAAGATGGTTTAGGGTTTCCTTCTCATATGTAAGCTCAGCTACTTGGATATTCCACATTTTAGTGTTTCAGTCCTTGGCATATGATTGACAATTTGAAGGTCTGTTTTTTTTCTTTACCCCTAGCATGAAATGTGACACAACAGAAGATTTTAGGGCTATGAAGGGCAGCATGGAGAAATAGTTTTCTGGTTTTCCTTTTAAAAAATTTTTTTTTAAGTTTTATTTAAGTAATCTCTACACCAATGTGGGGCCCATCCCCAAGATTAAGAGTTGGATGCTCTTCTGACTGGGCCAGCCAGGTACCCCTTCTAGTTTCTCCGTAATTCATACTTGTTGTAGCTCTGTTCTTTAGCTTTTAATTCTTAGGGTAACTAGTGTATTAGGTAATATTAAAAATTGCCTTCTGAAGCTAGATGGCAATGATTTTTTTTTATTGTAATAAAAATTTTATGGAATTTTTATACATAGTAAAATCTTTTAAATTTGGATCCCACAAATTTATTTTTGGTAATGCTTTGGACATATGACATTTGCTTTGTTAATTCTAGTCTCTGGGCTTGGTTGTATGTGATGTGTCTAGGAGCTGTTGGCACTCTGGTTTCTCTCCATGCTGGGCCTTACTTCCTATTGCAGTTTGAAGGCAGATATGGAAGCTTAGAATGTGGCTCATCTTTCCAGTATTACAAAAACTGTATTACATACTTGAGCTTATGTTACCTATTGTATTTTAAAGCATTAAATACGATTTATTTTTATTTTTTTTTATTTATTTTTTTTTTT